GCGGCCCCCCTGGCCCCAGCCTATGGGCTTGTGAGCGGACAGTAAGCTGGTCACAAATCAAACGCTCTTTTCTTACCAGAACAGGCATAAAGAATTATAAGTTGGTGGTAGTTCACCGGGGGGGGGGGATTGGTTAAAAGATGCTCTCTGAGGTCTAAGCTTATTGTCCTGATCACAGAGTCCCAACCTCCCGCTACCATTCAGGAGAGTGGAACATGGTTGCAGATCTGAAATTTTCTTCCTAAATGTGTCACACCACATTATGGTGCACGTTATGCTTGTTGTTGCACACTGAGTAACCTAGTTTTATAGCTAGGAATGAATATTTTACATTTGCATTAATTGATTTAGCAGACACTTTCATGCAAAGCATTGTCAGGTAAGGATCAGGTTGAGCCAGCATACCTGCAACAATTGAGGTTAGGGGCCCTGCTCAAGAGTCCAACAGTGACATCACTCTGCCAGTAGCAGTGCCTAATTTGATAGAATTACAAATACTTCACCCACATCCATACTCATTTTCTCAGTATGAACTGAATTTTATAGCTTTTTAAAATGTCAGAGGTTTTGTTTCCTAGCATAGATATCCTGAGATTTTTTATGACATTATTTTTAGTCAAGTTTATGCTAATATCATGAAACCATTGTGCCAAATGCTGCTGTAGCAATTTGCTACGGTTTCACACACATATATCCTAAAAGCATGTGACAGATTGAGTGAAAAGGGGACTTAAAAAGGCTGGAGTTGGGTCAGACAAATTAAAAGCATAAATTATGTCAGAACTTGGCTATAAGTTGATCCAAAAGAGTGTCCAGGTCAAGGGGCCCCTAGTACAAAGGCCTATAATAGAAGATCCTCTGGCTGCTTCCAGTCCAGACCACCCAAGTGTATCATCAGTGCCTTTAGTCTTGCTGGGGAGCCCCCTTCCAGATGGAAACAAAGGGGAAGGGTTTGCCTTTCAGAAATCCGCCTCCAGCACAGCAAAGAGCTCTTTCTGAAGCCCATAAGCAAAACAACTCTGAAATGCCTAGTGCAGGCCAGTTAACATTCTCCAATGTAGTTTGAAGGACACAGACAAGCCTCTTCACATCACTGTGGTCAGTTACTGATTGCATACTGCAATTCTTATTGCAGAGATGAACAGCTAATGGGCGGTATCTGCATGTTTTTCAGTTAGCTTTGAGCTGGCACATTCATCTGCAGTGATTACTGGGGCTAACAGGTCTGATATGGCATGCAAGACTAGGCAACATTGGAAGAATATTAGGGACACTTATTTTTTCCAAGTGCTGTTGCCAAGGTTTTAATCGATACAAGTGGATGATCACTGTCCAATATTATATTTTTATGGCCACAATGAAGCAAAACCTTAATTGAATGAACTATTATCCCAAAGGTAGAATGCTCCATAGAGTACTGTCCATACCACTTTACTGGGACAATGGTCATTTCTTGGAAGAGTGCCCCCTACTGGTTTGCTGAACCCACTTACTGCCATAACTTGGCTTTCCCTGGTAATTGACCATCACCAACCAATTGATTGCCTCAAGTCATAATCTGCCATCGTACAGAAAGGCACCAATTTTAACTCCAGTACAAAAGGATATACCAGACCAGGGAGGCTGGCTAAAAAATATTTCTCGGTTCACCATTTTGTCTGCCTTCTGTATTGAAAAATTTCATGCTCAGTTTAATTGTGTGCATGAATTTCTTGCATTCTGGTGTACTTTGCAGGGTTGGGGCCATTCTGGAATGCATTCATCAATTCCAGTCCAAATCAGAAAATGGAACTGGAGTTGGGATCGGAAAAAAAATTATGGAGAACAGAATTGGAAATGAATTCGAATTTCAGGGAGATTTAAATCCCAACTCCAGTTCTATTTCCTGATTTGGACTGGAATTGATGATGCATTCTGGAATGGCCCCAACCCTGGTACTTTGATAATTGGGAGGTCAGCTGGCTTGTAATATTTTCAGAAATGTAGATTTTGATTATTAATTCCTTAGATTCCATAGACCAGGGGTGTGAAACTGCAGTCCTGGAGGGCTGCAGCCCTGTGTAGCTTGGTTCTTTCCCTCTTCCACCACAAATGATTCAGCTCAACATCTATGTGTTAATTAGCACAAGAAGCTGAATCAAGTGTGTTAAATGAGGGGAAACCCAAAAATGTGCAGGGCTCTGGCCCCTCAGGACTGGAGTCTGACACCTGTGCCATAGACTGTCAGCATGAGAAGCTTATGGAAATGTTTTGATCTGCAAAAGAGGCTTGTCTCTCTAGAGTCTAGACATACTGTTGACATTGTAATGTCAATCATCCATTCTTGTAATGTAGTAAAAAAAAAAAAGTTTGCATAATTAAGACTGGGAAACAAATCTAACATTTGACAGTTATTCAATGATGCAGTTGTACCAAAAACCAATGTGTTTGAAAAGTTCTGGTGGGCCAGCGTTCTCCTGCCTGGTAAGGAAATTATCTCACAGTGCTTTATTATGAGTGATTCAATTGGCTTCTTATAATAACAGCCAGAAGAGCAACGAGGCTGGTTTAGTTTCCAAGGGAGGGAATTGTTCCCAGGTCCAAGAGCAGCTCTGCATCCCCATACAGGGTGAAACCCAAACCTCAAATATCTATCTCACATGATTCACATTCTGCTCACTGTAAATAAGAGTGCTATATTTTGGGAATAGATACACACAATTTAATTGATCAAAAGGACTGTCTAAATTTCAGTAATCCTCGATTTCAAGTTTATCTCAGGGCCAAGGTGAACTTCACCTTGACACTTCTTTTGACACGTAAATGCATGTTGCTGACTGTTCAGTGTCTAACACTGGAAGCCACTATGGTCTATTAAATGAATGAACATGGTCTCTTATTTACTGTAGCGTGGAATCATTCAGGAGATTTACATTTATGTGTAGTTATTCTTGCTAAATGTACTGTGAATTGTTTCTGCTGTTACCGCGATCAGACGCGGTTCTTTTCCCCCTACAGTGTCCAGTGTATTTTTGTCAGGCCATGAAAGTTATGTTGAGTAAGAAGTTGTGCTTGGCGCTCACCACGCTGCACTTGAATGTCCGGGTCTTTCACAGTGGATTCGGGGAAGCTGGCCGTGCCGCATGATTAGGGCTGGCTCCCAAACGAGGGCAGAGTTGATGAGCTTCTGTCCCTCCATCCAGCAGCAGACCTTGGCTTTGGACGGCCCCTGTGGCGATACTAGGAAGTCTACATGGTTCTGGGAACGTGCGGCTGTCTGTGTGTGAGGTTGCGAGCGGCGGGCTGCCCCAAACAGGCCTTCGAAACTGAGCGCTCGTTGGCTGCTGCTCACTGTAATAACCCTGCGTAACTGGCAGTGCATTCGAGCAGGCCGTCCCATAAACCCCTGGGCTTGTCTCTGTCTACTCTGATTTAATTTCAGTTTTAAGGAGGCACAACATCTCAGTGATTAACCTTAGAAGACAAAGGAGGTCTGAGGTAATTTTTCACCTTTAAATTATTAATGACCAGTAAAACACTTTATGAATTGATATTGTGACTCTGGCAGGGGCAAAAAAATATCACTGAATTATAGTAATACATTAATACTACCCATTTTCCATATCTCCTTATTCAGTACAAGGGGCCTGGAGCCCATCCCAGGTAGCAAAGGCCACAGGGCAGGGGACACCCTGGACTGGATGCCAGTCCATCACAGGGCACAGAACAGGGGACACTCTGGACTGGATGCCAGTCCATCACAGGGCACAGAACAGGGGACACTCTGGACTGGATGCCAGTCCATCACAGGGCACAGAACAGGGGACACTCTGGACTGGATGTCCCCTGCGTTTTCTTCAACAAAATAGGATGTCCTAAATATTAATAATAACATGTTCCAATGGTTGTGGTGATTTATTCAGCAGAAAAGCCCGTTTGTTTCTCCTACATGCCTCTAAGACTTTTATTGTGAACCGGGAATAGCATATCAGTGCAGATGAAGCATTTAAAGTGTCACATTTTACTATGATACTTTATCAAGGAGTGTCGTGTTTTATCACACAGTGCAGTGTGGAAACCCGCCAGGCTGCCGAATAATGCAGCAATAATGCTTTAAGCCATTTGACGATGTTCCATGTCCCTGACTCTCCTTCCTCACTTCTGTCTCCCTTCCCACTATGTATCCAGCGTCTGCACCCGGGAGCCTGTGGCTTCCTGCCCACTGTCATCAACCTTCCCCGGTCATCTTTACCCCTTTTAGATCCTATCTCCCACTTTGTTTACACTGGCCCAGATCACATCCGAATCCGATATCCTCCTCGACCTGCACGGAGTGTTTCTCACAGACGCGGCATCTAGGTCACTGTGACCCCCCCCCCCCCCCCCATCCCGTCCCTGCTTTGTTTGGCAGCATTTTCAGGCCAAAAACAGGCTGCTTATGGCTCCTGTGTTGTCAAATCCACCTTAAATGTCCCTTCGGCCTGTTTGTTGATACATATTTTCCATACACTTCAACTGCCTTCATAGTGTCCAAATATCCCAGCAGAAAATAGGAGCAGTCCACACCACAGCCTGCTATACGCTATATATAAATATACAGTGTATATATATCAATAAATTCACATACACACACACACTGTATTATACCTCGGCCTATCTTTTTGTGCAACAGTGGATAGTTAAAAACCTCTTATCAATCAGGAGAGCAAAAAAACAGGTGGAGCACTTAAATGTGCTGCTTTAGCACTGGTGGCTTTAAGTTCTTGGTTAGCTGGTCTGTGCTGATTTAGGATTGACCACCATTCTTTTCTCCCGAGCTGTAATTGTCCAGCTTGTAAAGGTGTTGTTTTTTTCAAACTGGCACTCGTCTGACAGTTGATCTGCGAAACATTTAAGACATCCGTGTTAGAGTAAGTTTATGCAAATTGTTTTGTGTCTTGTGTCTTTGTGTTGTTTTGGGGAAGATGGTGGCGCAGGAGGTAGTGCTATCGTTCGGTAACTGGAGGGTTGCAGGTTCGAGCCCTAATTCCTCCTGACCTCATCAAAGTGTCCTTGAGCAAGACACTGAACCCCAAATTGCAGGTTTGGGGTTCAGGTTGGCGCCTTGCTTGACAGCCTCCGCCACTGGCGTGTGGATGTGTGTGTGGATGGGTGAATGTGAGGCATGAATTGTAAAGCGCTTTGAGTACTCGTAGGAGTAGAAAAGCGCTATATAAATGCAGTCCATTTACCATTTGTGTGAATTATTACAGTGACTTTGCAGTACACTGATTCTTGGGCTAGTACCTGACTGGTGTAGAAAAGCCTCCCTTACGGACTTTCTGCCTCCCTGCTCCACTGAACAGGGCTATAGTGCTCACAGCTTCCTGGCCCCAGAGCATCATGGGTCTTTGTGAATAGCTGCCACATGACCATGCCCCAGTGCCACCAAGCTGTCCTGATGTGACTCGCCCCCCAGCTCTGTGGCTTTTTCAAAGAAATGTTATTTACTTTGAACACCATGATAACCCCCTTTCAGCGTTAATCATAAATCTGTCGTCTAAACACAAATCTAGGGTGTCACAAGGTCAGTGCAGGTTCAGGGAAGTGCGCAGCACACAGACATCTATATTGCAGGTTCAGAGAAGGACATGGGTCACAGACATCCAGCGCAGTGTAGGTTCAAGGAAGCATGCAGGTCACAATCATCCAGTGCAGTGCGGGTTCATTGAAGCACATTGGTCACAGACATCCAATGCAGTGTGGGTTCAGGGAAGCACGTGGGTCACAGACATCCAGCGCAGTGTGAGTACGGGGAAGCACGTGGGTCACAGACATCCAGCGCAGTGTGGGTTCAGGGAAGCATGTGGGTCACAGACATCCAGTGCAGTACGGGTTCAGGGAAGCACGTAGGTGACAGATGTCCAGCATAGTGCAGGTTCAGGGAAGCATGTTGGCCACAGATGTCCTGTGCAGTGCAGGCTCAGGGAAGTATGCGGGTCACAGACATCCAGTGTAGTGTGGGTTCAGGAAAGCGTGTGGCACGCAGACATCAAGTGCAGTGTGTCTTTAGGGAAGCACGTGGCACACAGATATCTAGCACATCAAGGGTTCAGGGACGTGCGTGGGTCTCAGCATGCATGTTCAGGGAAGTGTGTGGGTCTCAGCATGCGTGTTCAGGGAAGTGCGTGGGTCTCAGCATGCGTGTTCAGGGAGATGCGTAGGTTACAGGCATCCAGCGCAGCATGGGTTCAGGGAAGCATGCAGCACCCAGCGTCTAGTGCAGTGCAGAATCAGGAAAGTGTGCTGGTCATAGGAATCCGGTGCATCGCATTGCGGGTTCAGGGAAACGTGCGGGTCACAGATATCCTGCGTAGTGTGGATTCAGGGAAGCATGTGGGTCACAGACGCCCATTGCAGCGCACTGTGGGTTCAGGGAAGCATGTAAACTTGTATTCATAGTTTGCTACTATGGTCACTGGAGTGGGGTCTAAAGTACCACGAGTGACATACCAGGCAGGTCTCAATGGACTGTGGATGGTGATCAGATCAGATAAGGAAGTGGGTGAGTGTTTTCTCACTGGTTTAGAACTCCTGCCTCATTTAATTATTCATCGATTCAGAAATAAATTGCACAGGGAGATTTATGTACTGCAAACAGAGGACAAAAATAGAGGCAGGTGGTGGCACTCAGGGCTCTGACCCCGGTGTGTGGGCGCGTTTTCCTTTAAGTGATCCATGGAAACAGGTGGAAAGAGATTCCACAACGAAATAGGCCAGAAAACAGGAAATGGTTTCCTACAAGACCCCTGTTTGATGGCATGTGTCAAATATCAGTTTGGTAAGATATAAGAATTTTGCCAATCGGGGTATCAGTGCATGAAGGCTAAGAGGATTCCAGCCAAAGGGAAGGCCTTGTAAATGTCCGTGTCATTTGATTACCCTGAGCATGTGACCGCTCAGCATTTTCAGGGAGTTCTCTGTGTTTATTTTTGAAGTTAGTGTGACCTTAAATGTTCAAATATAGCACATTCCCTGAGTCTCGCGCCCGTGTGCAGTCCGTGCCATCCAGGGTTAACGGCGGCGTGTTGTTTCAGCCGCACCCGGAGACCAGGCACAGCAGCCAGCCAGCTTTTAAGGCCCCCGGCCCATGTGATCAGACAAACCGAGCACCGTCAGTCAGCCGGAGATGGTCCAGTAGGCCAAAGTTCAACAACTGCTTTCAGATGCCTGGAGGAAATTAGAGTCCGACATGCAAAGCGGGGGGAAACGGGGGCCTGCAGGGTTACTCAGGGCCATTTCCACCGTTACCATAGCAAAGCTTCTGTGGAGGGCATCCATTGAGTCCACATTCCCTGTTCGTCCAAACCAAGAAAGGTCAGCTACAGACTATTGTTATAACTTCTGTTCCTTTATCATTTTCAAATGCAGTCTGTAGTTTACAATGGACACTAAGTTAGCCTAGTAAACTTTGAGTACGCAACTCGGTTTAGAAAAAAAACAGCTTACGACAGATAATTACTAATATGTGACCTCCTGCTATGTTTAAGTTATGTGGGGTTTAGCCTGATATTTGAAGTAATCTGCCTTTTTCACCCAACAGAAAAGGTGGTGTGTGTAAGGTTGTTTACTTCAGACAGGATTGTAGACTGTGCTGAAAATGTGCAGAAGATCAGGTTTTTTTTATTACATGCCGTCCAGGCTAGTGTGTCATGCTGTGTTGTGCAGATTAATGGCTCGTAATCGTTGCGTCGTGGGGGCTCAGCCCAGAATGTCTGCTGCAGTTCTACTAAGCAGTACTCACCAAAACTAAAATTCTTATCTTAAGCATTCAGTAAGTTTGTTATATTTTTCAAAACGTCGGTTTGACCTGCTGACACTTGCAGTTGTTATCGAAGTCGAAGTCCCTGATGTTTGTGTTCACCTGGGTTCCAAAGTCAAAAATTTACCCAATAAGTCACCTAGAATTTTGACCTTTGCCTCTATTTTTTTTTTTTTAGTATTGAGGGGGTAGGGGGAGCAGAAGCACCCTACTGAGAGGAAGACATGGTGGGGGTGGGGGGGGGGGGGAATTGCAGTTGCTTTTAACCTGAGCTCTGTGCATAGATAGCAGGGGGCTTATTAACATGAACTGTCTGAGCCCCCCATAGCTGTGCCAAGAGCTTGATTTGTGCTCTGATCCATCAAACTCTCAGACGGGCACCCCAGCCCCGTTTCATTGTGGTGGGGAGGTGTGTGGGGATTTCGGGCCCCCATTTACCCCTGATATGTCCTGTGGCTGGAATCATTCATCTTTCCAATGGCCCACCGACCTTGGCCTGTGTCTCCATGACCTTTAACCTTTAACCCTCTCCATGCCAAATCACTGCTGGAGTGAAATAGTCTAAATGCCCCCTCCCCCAGTCACGTCTTAATGCTTTGTTGAAATTCTGAGGCTTCTTGTGAGTGTGTGTGTGTGTGTGTGTGTGTGTGTGAAATCCAGATGAACGCTTTTACCATCTAACCTCATTTCAAAGGTGATGTCTAAAATCATTTGCATTTTTTCTGTGCACCAAATCATTTTTAAAGAGGCTTTGCTCAGTCTGATGATTTTAATGAGAATGCCATCAGCCCTAAAATCAGTTAGTCAGTACAAAAGAGCCAAAATAGCGAGGCCAGTTCTGCTTTATTACTGTTGGGTACTTCATCCGTCTTTGGAGCGTGGATGTGGATGACAAGCAGTTACAGTGGCCCGTCCAGCCTCTGGGTCCTGTGGCCACCGCAGCCTCAGTTTGTCCAAATCAAGTCGGACACGCTTGGCTGGCTCTTAAATGCCTGTTTGATGTCTGTTAGGAGAGGAAAGGCATGGTCTGGGAATGCTGTGGAACAGCCCAGGCTCACAATCAATGCACCAAGCAAAAGGTTTCATCTGATTCACTGCAAGTCATCTTATTAATGTGGTGCCCTACAATTAGCCATCATGTTAGCCACAGCTACAGACTTTTTCTGATGTGGTCTCGTGATCCAAAGCAAGTGCTGTCCTTATCCTGTAACCTCTGGAAGAAGTCCAAGCGTCCGAGTCGTGGTGAACTCCGGTAACCCCGCTGATGCCGCAAAACGCATGCAGTGAACTTGGGCAAGAGCAAAGGGCGGCGTGGATGGTGGCATTCATTGTGAGCTGACAACTAACAGCGAACGGAGACTGGCTGCAGGATTTCAGAGGACACCAGGCAGTGGCTGGGCCAGGCGTCTGCACTGGGGCAGGCCTGCAAACTGGCACATGATGCATGGACAGAAAGAAGAAAGAGGGTTTATCTTGGAGATGGGAGTGGAGAAGGGTGTAATAAAAGTAGCAGGAAGAGAGAAAAAGAAAAACAAAAGACGGCCATTTTGGTGTTACCATGAAAATCATGCGCAAGAACGAGAATTAGTTCTAGATCAAAGACCATGTTCTTTAACGTTATGTCAGGGTCTCGCCGGGGGGGGGGGGGGGGCCAGGGGGGGGGGGGGGGGCAGCCAGGATGAGCAGGAGTAAGGAAGAAAAAAACTCCTGTACTCACAGATATGTGAGACACAGCAGCATAAATTGGCAGAACAGGTACTATATTTATACATATATATACACACGCACACACACACACTACCATTCAAAAGTTTGGGTCACAAGAAAACATACATGAAATGTGTTTAAATAAAAAATATAGCTCAAGGAATAGGAAATAGTCATTGACAAAGTTAGAAATAGTCATTTGCAGCAATTACAGCCTTGTAGTCTCCAAACTTTTGAACAGTATTGTGTGTGTAAGTGTATAAACACACACACACACACACACACACACATATATATATATATATATATATATTTTTTTTTTTTGTTTTGTTTATTAGCAAGAACTAGGATGTTCAATGGCAGTGGGTATCATTAAACAACAATGAAGAATGTTCAGTTGATTATCCCAACTTTTAAGAAGTTTCATGTTCACCATACATACAAAAAAAACACTACTACATTATGTAAAAGTACAGTGTGATTGCATAGAGCTAAATTCTGTGAAATAATTTTAAATCCATAAACCAGTCTGAAATCACAGTTCTTGTCTGACCTGTGTTCAATGTCATTAACTGAATGGAACGGCCTTATCTGCCACAGAAGGCATCTTTTCAAAGAAGCGACATGGGCCTAAAATAGCACCACTGGGACAGAGAACCGGGATCCTGCTGAGTGGAGCCAGGATGCTGTAACTCAGACCAGCCAAACCTCTGCAGCACTTCAGAACAATCAAAAAGCATTGAACACACTGCATGGAACAATTCATACAGTTTGAGGATAAAAATGACAAAAGGATTATGACTGTTTGATGATGGCTTCAAGATTCAAGATCGTTTATTTGCCAGTTGTAAATCGATACATAGGAATTCTTACTTGCACCATCCGTTAGATAACATCATGTGACATATAACAGGAATAGACAGTACAAAATGACATAAAAGCATTCATAAAACATGAAAATAGGCATAAAACTAGGAGCCGCAGAGGTACATATATATGGCTGAAAGAGAAAATGTGGCTCATGTATAAATTAATAAATGTAGAATAAATTACTGAAATAAGAAATATGGCAAGGTGGAAAGTATTTTTCTGTCCAGTGAAGTACACTGTGCATTTATGAGGTTAGAGTGCTTAAACTGAAAAGAGGATTTAGGAACTAAATCCAAAGGGGAATCTTAGCTTGCCAAAAGGCAGAGATGAAGGGGACTAAGATGCTGTCTGGGAGATGCCTGATGTCCACGTTACTGGACTGTACTTAGAGTGGAGTATTTCTTTGCAGAGTTTGCCTGAGTAATTTGTGGGATATGTTTAAGGGCTGGTGTTTTACAGGCAAGGAAGACCTTTGGGGCTCTGTGAGGCCTCTTAAAAGGTTACACTTGGAAGATGATTCAGTAACACCAGGTCCCTGAAGTCCACACTACATTCTGAGCCTCTCCTGTCTTAGATCCTCCCTGGTGATTGACCCCAGTAACGAGTCAAAATGTATTTCTGGTTGGTCCTACCATTTGCTTGTTTTTTTTCACAAAAGTCTGCATTTATAATGACTTCTGATTTTACTAGTGTAATGAAACAGCATGAGAGATCCTGAGATCCTTGTCACACTACAAACCGTTCTGGGTTGTGTACTGAACACTGCCATCTTTCAGAGAACTTCCAGACAGTCCTGCTGTGGAATGGAGTATCCAGCTCATTTCCTCCCTGGTCCTGAAGCAAGTTAAAGAAAGTTCCATCAACCTGGTGAGGCTAAAACTTATGTGAATGTGGTCTGTTTTGATGCGCTCTCTTCCATGTCCAGACACATGCCTGGCAATGTCAGCAGATGGCATGAAGGTATGAGATCAGGAAGATACTAAATCAGCAAATCCCAGCAGGGTAAACTCTTTCAATAATTATCCATCTGGGTAACAGTGACATTTTCATCTGCAAAGGGGTGTCTTATAAAACATGAAACAGGGATGCTTTCTAGAAGGAAACATTGGGTCCACAGCTAGCCTCCAGACTACTAGCTCTGGAACAGGCTGGATATATTTAAAATTACAAGGGATTCACACCCAAAAGTGATACTAAGATCACCACTAGAAGATTCCTTATGTCTTAAAAGGAAACTTCAACTGCATGTGACTTTTCTTTGTTTTTTATTGGATGTGTTCTGGTTTCCATTAACCCTTGGTGTGAACCGTGTACTAGAAAACAAAACATGAAAATATTAATTTTTTGGCCATTAATATTTAATTTAGATTCCCACTACAGTAAACATCAAGAAGAACTTGTGGATTTTTAAAATATGTTTTCTGTGGATTTCTCCTTTAAGTACAAGATGACCGATCCAACAAAACTCCAACAAAATTAATAAATAGAAATTGCATAATTACAGGGCTTCTTTGGACTTGGTGTCTTTCCATTTTCTGACTCTCAGTTTCAAAGCAAGTTGTTTTCCTTCAATTTTCCGTTTATATTTTAAAACTGGGCCCGGGGCTGTTTAGTGCAGCTAGCCTCTAAACTAGCAGCTCAATAAGAAGCTGTTTTCACTTCTTTTATGGAGACTAAAGCAGCCTGTATCAGCCTCTCTGTTCTGAGTCTCCCTCACCAATGTGTGGCTCTGTCTATGAACAGACAAGACCTCCAGCACAATGTTCTGATAAAATGATGATGGCTAATTTTCAGAAAATGCTCCTCTGTTATCAAGAGGCCGACCATAACAGGGAAAAAATCCACATGGATATTTTAAATGTACAATGTATTTGTGCATCTTATATCTGTGTAAAACTTGCATTGATAGCTGGATAGTATTATCTTGATGGCAGTTATTGATAATTATTTGCAAAGTGGTCTCATAGTCCACACACACCTAACCATAAAATGTCTGCTTAGCAGCCTGTGCACTTGTCCGTGCATCCCAGTTTGCACATTTTTCTCTCTGTTTATTCAGAGATCTTTATCAGGCTCTCAGAATCCAACGAAATGTTCTTACAGCATATTTCCAAAAAGAGACTGTTGTTGAAACCTTATATAAAACATGTCCTAATCCACAAGCAAATTGCTGCTGTAGCAGACACTGTACAGAGGTCTTGTTGTAAACAACATTTAGGAAGAAATACAGAAACTTTAACAGCAAAAGTACTACAGATGCTGGCCAGTAAGTTTGTTTTTATTGTACAAGATAACAGATAATGTCTGTTTTCCGGTATGTTTTCCATTTCCACTCTATAATAACATGCAGAATTATGTATTCACATAATGACCTTCAGATGGTTGTTGAATAATTCTTTCCAAATTAACATTTTTGCAAAAACTCTAAGGAGTATATCTTTTCATGTTAAGGTTTCATGGATTTCGGACAAATTTTGACCGACTGAAACCGGTTTGACTTCTTTCTTTGGAAAAGCCTTCAAACATTTTAGTGTTTTTTTTGTTATTAGGCAAACCCACTTCAGTAATTTCCTGCCTTGTGGGATCAAGAATCACAACATAACAGAACATGTATTCCCTCCTGGATTACAATCAAAATGACCAATTAGTGTCCAGCTGTTGGCGATTAGTGCTTCTGTGTTATGCCTTGTGCACCCTATGGACCTGTTAGACAGTCTATGAGATTCTCCCCTCCGTGGCTCTGTGTACATGTATGTGCTGGCACGGCAAAAGTCTCTTGGACTCTCTCAGTCTCTATACATAAAAAAGAGAATTCTGGGAAATCTATGGACGCAAATGCCAACTCCTGCTTTCTTTTGCAGATGTTCACTGGGACAAAAACACAGACACTTCAGCACGTGGGTCATTCCCACACACTTTCTGTATGTTTTTTTCATCCCCTTGTCGATTAAGTTTCCCTTTAAGCAACTCCCCCAGGGAGCTTTTTAATTTCCTGTTTATTTTGGCTACAGCTGACACTTCCGGAATATGCATTCACCCCCCCCCCACGCCCCCGCCCAGTCTTAGACTCCCAAACCCAGAACCGCAGTACAAAATGTTTTCCTACTGGCATAGGGACGATGCCAAAATGTTTAATTTTTTTTTATCTTTTTTTTTTTCTTTGCGCAAGCAAGCATGTTGCCCTTTTGTATAGTAAATGGGAGTCGGCACAGCTCTGCCTTGCCTTTGTTTACTTTCTTTCACTTTTGCCCTGGTTTTAGTTTTATAAGGGAAGCATAGAGCTGGTTAGGGACTTCTAAGGCAGTGTTCCATGTGTTTGCAGACCCCACCGGCTCAGCCCCGCCTCCTTGTATGTCATCCTTCACACACTTTCCTTGATGGACTTTGACTGTGACCACAGTTTACACCTTGCTTCCAACAAGCAGGCCCACTCTCTCTTTTTCCATAATATTACCATGGCGGGGGGGGTCCTCACCTCCATTGCCTTCAGATATTCATTCTTTCTTTGTGTCTTCCCTTTTTCCCTATTTCATCTATTATGGTCTATAAGGGATGTAGTCATAGCCATGTCAAGCACCTATAGGCGCTATATAAAGATACATTAAAGTTGAATTTATGTCTTGTCGTTTCCTGATTCTTGTACCAATTATATTTTTGTGATGTACCTTTTTGATTGTCTCTTATGTGCTATGTCCTGCTATGGTCCTTGTGAATATATGAACAGAGCAAATATCAAATAATTATTTAATTAAATAATGTGAGCATCCCCAGCTAAGTTGCTGTATATTTACAGGTGCTGACTTTTGATGTCTGCGGTGTGAGCGGTCATGCCAACCACACTGCAATCTACAAGGCACTCAGGTAATATCACCATCCAGCCACACATCTATCCATGTGTCTGCTGGTGGGTATGTGGGCCGACAAAATGTATTGTTGGGGAAGTTCCCTCCCCCCAAAAGCTATCATGCCATCATGGCCAGAAATCCAGGGTGTTCCCTGCTTTGAGCCCTGTGCTTTCTGTAATGTAACACTGTTATTAATAAAAAATAATACATTACAGAAGCAGCTTAAAATCCACGCATTGTAGCTGAGCTTCAGCAACCAGACACTTTCTCCTGTACATTTTTAACAAATCAGTAACATTAGTCCATCCTGACATCTTGCAGCATTTCAGTTATTTGTTATTCCCCAAAATAACACCCCCCACAGATGCATATGCCTGTAACAGCAGCTCCATCGTAGCTGGATGTCCTGCTGTCTCATTCAAACAGGAACATTTTGTTTGGACCAATGACCAAATGGGGGGGGGGGTGTTAAAAATACAACTAAACTTCTCAAACTCGCGGATCTCGCTAACTCCTCGATAGAAATGTCATTGAATTAAAATATGGCTGTACCTCCTATAAGAGCATAGATACAAACGCGGCAGTATATAGCCTATATACGCATTCAAACCTGAACCCATAAACCAGTGGTTCCCAACCTTTTTTGGCCTGTGACCCCATTTTGACATCACAAATTTCTGGCGACCCCATAGACATTTTTTTTTCTAGAATTAGTTTTTGATCATGTTTGTTATACCGTGTTGCAAATACAGAGTAGCCAGATTAGTGCACAAAGTCACATTTTATTTTCCCTGATCACATGTACAATTAGGCGAGCTTGTCTTTACAAGGATGAAGGTGATCGCGATCATTTTATTTGAACTCATTTATATTTATTAAGGATGGGCCGATCCACATTTTTTCAGTTCCGATCCGATTCCGATACACAACTGCCGATAACGATACAGATTCAGATACAAGATCCCTTTCTACTTTGTCATACTTTTATATATTAATTTTTAAGCTAGTAATTACAGATGGAAAAAATGTATGACAAAAATATTTAATTAGGCTACTACAAACATACATAACGTACTGTTCCACCTCGTTTGTACGTCTTGTTTTAAGAGTTTTTGAGGCATTTGCAGTTAAATATGAATAGAACAAGTATACACAAGTGGCGAATGCTTAAAATTTTAACACAATTTTGTCCCATTGGCGTCAGCTCAGTTACACTTTGTTGCGATAGCAGCCGCTCTTGTATCACAAGCTGCAACAAGTTCGCAAGACAGTCCAGGTTAGCGACTCCCAAGTCATTCATTGCTTTTTTTGTCTCGCAGTTGCGTGGGCTTTGTTAAGTGGGATTGTCCATTAAACGCTAATCGCTGCAAATCGCTATGCTACTGGTTTCTGTTAAAAGCGTAAAATACTCCCAGATCGTCACGTCTTATCTCCTTATGCTCCTCATACTGCGAAGGGTATGCGCATGACGTCACAGCAGGCGGAAGTCACTGTACTCACACCCACTGAGTAGCAAAAAAGACTGAGGGGCAGCGTTAGCGTTCGATTTGAATGCCGCAAAAAACACATGTAAAATGGGAAAGAGCTGTCATGCGATTGATTGTACAAATAGATTTAACACGAAATAGGAGCTATCTTTTTAGAGATTGCCCAAAACTAAATAAGTAAGTATAGGACGTGGATCGGTCGCGCATGGCCGATACCTGATCTGTCAAATAGGTCTGGATTGGCGCCGATACCGATCCGAATATGGGATCGGTGCATCTCTAATATTTATTGATATCTATGAACGTGAAAGAATACAGTTGTTTAAGATTGTATGTGGTGTTTTAATAATAATTTTTAAAAGAATAATAATTAGTTGAAAAAATATTTTTAATAGTAATTTTTTTAAATCAATTACTAGACATTTCAAGTGACCCCATTTGAATTCCAGGCGACCCCAAGGTTGAAAAACACCACCACACTAGTTCTCAGGTAAATATCAGGAGCAGGTGTGCCTCATCAGAAGCCAGGATAGGGTAGAAAACTTACTGGATAGTAGCCCACCAGGACCGGAGATTGTGTATGATGTTGGTGTATGTGTATGATGCAAACATTTATTGCTGTTGCAATACATCATGTCACTAGTCACAAGTACCAGCGAAAAACTGGCCATGGGGAACGCAAAATATAATTTGCACTTCATAGTCGTAAATGCTGTCCAACCCACATGCAAAGCCGCTTGTTGAAAGCTGCGCCTCTCAGACCGCGGTAAATTTCATTCTGGAGGAGAGGTGCATCCGCCCTCTTGCTTTGCGGTTGCATCAGGAATTTTTAAAGCAGAAATAGCGCGGTTCCGGCGACACGAGTGAGCCATCCCATTACGCAAAAAGAATGAATGAATTAAATAATAATGATTATCTTTGTCAAGTAGTTCCACCGTTTTTTAACTGCGGATTAAAAGTATGTCTGTGAAAGGTTTACCGATTCGTACATAACTTTTTTCCAGTTGAGTGCTGTATTCATTGTTTCAATGCAGCCAGTTTTTGGATAATGGGGAACGCAAATTAATTGTCCAAAACGCAGAACAACTTTTGGTTTTGATGTCTGTTACAGAGACTCTAAGGAGTGTTTACAGAGGTGCATTATACTGCAAATAATTATTTGATTTAAAAAAAACTCTGCAAATGGAAAAAATAAATGGCTGTCACAATATTTACGGAGTGTCTCACAGCGTTGGTATGCAGCTGTGGACGAGCCGCAACCGTAGTGAAGTCCGTAATGAGCTTCTCCTTTCTTGCCCCTGGGCTTTAATGCTGCATTCCATTTGCCCTCGGAACTCGAATTCCGAGTTTTGAAGCCGGAAGTGACGACATGCGCGCTTCCGTTTCTCGGAGATCCGAGAAATATCTCGGACAGCACAGAGCATAGGGCACAGAGGATCCCGAGTTCAGAATCCAAGATGGCTGCGCCCTTTATCAACAGAAGGGAAAGTTGTAGTTTTATCCTGTTTAAGCACTACTTCTCATTTGTGGCTCATTGAATCGGTCGTACACACTATACCGTCCAACTTATCTGTGGACGTGTTGCTACGGAGTTTTATACGTGAAGCACCGCGCGTAATGTGTTATCAAGTGATATTGCTAACAAAGGCTACCAATTATGAATTAACCTGGCTGGATTTCATGATTAGTCGGATTATCTGTCAGATTTACGGTAGTTTGGGCTAACTGTAAGTGAACAAAGATAAAGGCCATTTAAACTGAGGTACCTTAAATCCGACAAGTTGTCCGGCTAAGCAAAAAATCTTGCTTTTTCATATGGGTCTGTGGTACAGTATTACTACTTCCTTGGCAAATGGAATTTTTTTAGCGGATGTGACGTAATCTCGAAATCCAAAAATCGGATCCCGAGGCAAATGGAATGCAGCTGCCTGTGTTCTGACGAGTTGAGCTACCTATCGAGACGTGCTATCGAGCCTTTCTGCGCATGTGCAGTTCCACCGTTTTGGGATTAGGGTTAGGTTTTAGGGGTTAGGGTTGGGGTTAAGGTAAGAGTTTTAGGGGGTTAGGATTAGGGTAAGAGTTAGGGTTAGGGCTATCGATTAGCACTACGGTATCATTTTTCGACAAGGCAGCATATATCGACAGAACACCGGCCTTTTTTCCCCCGTATCGCTGCCTTAATTAAATTGGTACCGAAAGCCGGTCTGGCGTGCCAAGTAGGACACTCCTTTACATCTCCTTCTCCAAAACCCACGGTAGCTTAAAAATGTTAACCTTTATCCCACTTGGACGGTTGTCAGTCGATCAGATTAAATATTCTGGTCAAAAGTAAAATTTAAATTGTGCAGATTGACACGTTAACGTGTTAAAATCAGTGCCGGTTTAATGTGAATTAGATTTTTATTGTTATATTTTATAAACGAGATGCGTTTTTATTCTGCTGGGCAGGTGCTACGTTGCCTGGGATGGGATGACTGGTGGCGATTTCTGTGGCTTTAGGGATGGCGTTCGATGTGATTCATTACTATCTGCCTGTGCGTTACAATAACAACTGCACGACCTTGCTATTTACATATTTCTTAATCCACATTTTAGGGAAAAACACTGTCCTGTTTTGCAGGTATCTGGGTTCAAGTGGAAGAATTCCTGATGGTAAGTTAATCCTTTTTTTTTTACTTTGGGGAATTAAAAAACATATGTGAATAACCTGATTTTTAAATGACAAAACATCGTGAAATGAAAATTGTTGGATGCAGCAGGTGTAATAATCGAGTTCAATTTTTCCCATTTCATATGTTTTTTTAGAGATAATATGGCTTACATATGTGTAGTTATATAATATGTGCACTAATTTGTAATACGTAGTAATACATCGCCTATTTTTTTAAATGAAACTTTTTTAATTTTTCACCCCGGATTATTAACCTTTAAATCAAATTCATAAAAAAGGTAATTCTGCTGATCAACCATCTAAACTAAAGCGCCATCTGCTGGTTGGATATGAGTAATATGTTTCTGTTCACTACCACTGCATTTGGAGTAGAATGCGTGCAAAATGGTGTGATGGATGGATGGTAGATAGAAAAAGGGTACAGCCCTGGTACAGTTTTGTTCCCTAAGATACAAACAACATTATTGCACCCCTAATGGTACAAAAATGTTCCTCAGAGTCCATTTCTGTACCTTAAATTAGACTAAAAGGTACATTTACCAACAGCTAGGGTACAACTGGCAGACCATCGAGACAAGTAATCATACCCTCAAAGGTACAAATTGGTACTTTTTTCCCTGACAGTGTATATAGTTCAATTTCGGCACACACTTAATCAACTTATAGTTTATGTGAATTAATTATGTATACTAATAAAGTTCTAAAATGCTATTCATAAGCACTCCCAGCTGTTCATCACATAAATATTACCAAAGGGAGACATAGATAGGATCTTAAGACATAGGACAGTTCATTTGGGTCAAACTGACCAGCCCCCAGTAACCATCACAAAACATTCTGGCATATAAATATGCACACCCATACCCCAGGCTGCTGTGGTGTGTGGGACATGGGAAACAAAAGATTTAGCAGTATAGGTAAATTACATTTTGTAAATAGGATCATGTCTGTTTTTTCCCCGGGATTTAATTGCTGCCCTTGTGTTTTGTAGTGGTATGCTGTTGCTTTTTATAGCTGAATCGGTCCCCCTTGCATTTCACTCTGTAAGCTCAGGCCTCTCTGACTCCTGTCTTTTCCCCAGGCCGCCCTTGTACATTTGGTGTCACATTGATGCACATTGGGCTCATTCACTGATAACAACGGCTGTTTGCATATCAGTTTTTTGCATGGAGCAAACTGCTGACACCCAGAAATTTTCCATAGATACAGCACTAACCCTTGTAGTAATATACACTACAGGACAGAGAGCACAGGTTCAGTTGGGGATAAAAGCCATAGTTTGTCTATCATTGGTTAAGTGTCATATGAATATATCTGTGGGTGGTGCGTTGCTTTGCAGGTTAGGATTCATGATCAGAAGGTCACTGGTTTAAATCCATTGGCTGGCAGGGTGATGTCACTATTGAACCCTTGAGCAAGGCCCTTAATCCCATTTTCCACTTGTGCGTCACTTTTTACATTTTGCAATCATGCAATATTTGCACAGTTTCTGTACACTACACGTTGTTAGACTGTTATGTGTTAGTCTTGTGATAATTTATGTAGCACCTTGGTCCAAGAGAAACGCTGTGTACTGTACTCAACTGTGTATGGTTAAAAATGACGTCGAAGACCTACTTGACTTGACTTTGGATAAATGCGTCAGCTGAAAAATGTGATCTTATGTATGTGTGTGTAGTATTTCTTCATGAAGGTGCCCAGCAGTCTGATCACATGTAGCAGATGTAGTAGATACCCTGGTATTTATTCAGCCATCTCTCTCCACTCCCCTGTGTAACAGGATGCTGCTTCCTCTCCCTGCAAAGTGTCAGCATGATCAGGAAGTACCTCTCCATCCTGGAACTGCCCATCAGCTGGATCCTCGCGTCAGACTACTCCACAGTTGCCGCTTTGAAAGAGTACAGGCGAGCCAGGGTAAGAGAGCTGCAGCGTGAGCTCATGCGTGTCAGCATTTGCAAGCTCAGTTCCTCTTTTACAGGTAATTGTTCAGTGGTTTAGAAAATGTGCTGCCCCCTGTTGACCTGGCAGACTCTGGCAAGTGCACAAGTATAAGCTGAAACTATACATTTTTCATATATGGTTTACGTATGTTACTTATTCTTATGTATGAGAACCTAAATACTGTCTGAGTGTTTACATATGCATCCATATAGAGATTATCACAAGATATGTTTGGATAGTTTTTGTGGAACAAAAGCTAAACAGCTGTCTTTAGATACAGCAGAAAATGAGGTGATCATATATATATAATATATATAAAATATTTTTTCTCCCTCTACAAATATATTGTATGATTCTGTAATGAGAGGATGCTAGCAACATGCTCAGCTGTCATTTTAGCAACTTTGAAGCTGTATGCAGCTGCCATAGGGATTGCATTCACACATCATACCCTGGCAGCTGTTCCTTAATCAAACCAGGGCCTGATGTGCTAATGCTGCTTAGCTTAGCATGCTCCAGTGGACATCCAGCTGAGTTTGCTTGACACCTCCCTTCTCTGCTCGCTCCAGGCGGCCATGCTTCGTCACCGCAGCCAGTTGCTGTGGTTTCGCCACCTCTACCTGCTCTTCTCGCGCTACATGCTCATCAACACATTTCAAGTTATCGCAGCAAAGGAGAAAGACTTGAAAAGCCAGTAGCTGTGGGTTCTCAAACTTGGGAGCCCCTGCCCATGAGGCGTCTCTGTAACACATCCTGATGTTGTGACATCCCACAGCACTGTGCATGATTTGACGTGACTGCGTCACATGACAAGAGTGTGCATCATGATGCGACTGTGCCTCACAAAACAAAACTGTCACATGATACAACTGTGCTTCACGTGACACGACATTTAATGTGTATGATAAAGTAGGAAAAACAGCAAAATTACAAATGGGTCATGTTATGAAGGTATTTTTTTGCAATAAATCTTTAAGACCTTAAATTTCTAACTCATATTTTGAATATGGCTAAAGCAATGTGTAAGATTACTAAAGAGATTCATCAGAGACATAAATTGAATGACTTGTCTATATACAAATGAACCAAATTATATGACACTGTTACACCCCTATACAACTGCAATGCTATCTATGTACAAGCTGTAATTACACAGAGGTTCAATAAAGCACTGGGTGGGGGGGGCTTGGTTTGGATAAAGGTTGATATATATATATATATATAATATATATATATGGCATCTTGGAGCCACTAGTCCACCCAAACAGCATATCTGAATCAGCACATGCTTGAATCCAAACCAATGTATATTTTTGGGAAGGCAGGATCAGACAATCCCTGGAGAACTTGTGATTAAGGGACTTGCTCCGGGGCCAATGGTGACATAACTCTGCCAACCCCCTTAAGCCACACCCCGCCCCAATCATTCATGTGATCTGGAATAATAGAAGCAGCTCTCATGAATGCTGAAAGATACTCCAAAACTGAAGCAACATTGCCACAGTGCATACAAGGACACCTGTTAACAATAAAAGACCAATTTGACTATTCAACTAATGAGCCAAAGATCTTTTGAAGAAGGTTCATTCAGGTGAAGGCTTGGACATGTTTCTGATGGTCTTATGATTTTGCATGCTCTCCTCCCATTTTACTCCACAAAAATTCTCCACGGTGATGCTGCGCACTGTGCCTTTGTCCAGGCAATGGGGTGCCACACCTAGGAAAGTACAAGCCTGTAAACCCCCCCTCATCTACCACACACAATTCTCTTAAGAAATAGGCTTTGTACCCCCTCAGACCACCAGATGTTGCCAGTGGCAGACTAAGTAACCTGGTTCACTGCCTCGTCCTTCTTACCATATCCATCAGGATTGGATCGTGGGGTGTAGAAGCTCTGAACTCCACATGTTCTGCAGAAGGTGTGCTTCGCAGTGTGAGTATTAAAGGTATAAGTGGTTAGATTTTCCAAGCCCTGTGTCGCAATAGAAAAAGATCTCAGGATCAGTTTAGCAAACAAAGTGTATAAGTATTATCAGTCAGCATGTTCTCATACTCCTGGCATCAGACATGTCAGCAAAGATCTTACTATAAGGGGTAAAATGAACCGTCAAGACACTCACCTGTAGGAGAGTGAACTGAGAGCTTGGCACAATGAAATGATGGTTTTGTTTTTTGGTGCAAATGCTGCAGCTGTTTGTGGAGGGAGCAGGAATCAGTCATTTTTATATACAATTTGTGAGCAAGAAATGTGCAGAGGAATTTCCCAGTCAGGATCAATGGAGTACACCAATCCATCTATACAAATAAACAAAGAATATATATATATATATATATATATATATATAGTAATGTTTTTAAATTGCTGTTTAAATAAACCCGTTATTGTATTTGTTTTTGTATTAGGTTTGATACTTGAGTTTTTCATATTTACACTTATATGTGACTTACTGCATTTTAAGTATTTCATCTGGCACGCGACATGTAGGCGTTCAATCGTAATGAAAGTAAGGCTGTACTCTGTCGGTGACAGCGTACTACAATTAGCTACGGAAGATGGACTAGAACTCACTTGCAATGGAAGACGAGAAGATCCGGGGAAGTTAATACCTGGAAACGCACCGCACCGCAATGGCATCCACCCATATGCATCACCAGACCGGAGGCACTATTGCAGTATAAATACACAGTTCATATGCAAAACATATCGCTTGCTGTCCCAGACTATATTAATACGTGTAATTGCTCCTATTTGCATATATGAATTCGATTTGGTATTCTGACAGCACAATTCGACAAATCAAGATTCTAATTCTTGTTCTAATGTATTCGGCATAGTACGGTACAGTTATTTTCTACGCACCTCTTTTCGTTTCCGTCCATTGCAACCTCCATATTTTAGACTTATAAACTTTTAAATGACCGGAGACCGCCCCTCCCCTCCCCCATATGCGTCATTTCCAGTCATGTGGACGCTCCCCTATGGACGCTCCCTCTCGTGTAAATGATTCATACCAAGTTTCGAAATGTTCAAGAATGTTCCTGATGGGAATGTTTTTAATGCCAATTTTGGTTTGGGCGTGAAGTCGTGTAACTAATATGTCTTGTGGCAAATTTAGCGATTATTATTATTATTTGTCGACAAAGTCAGTATATGTTGTTATTGTTGTACTTATTGGTGTTACACTTTATATTACATATACCACTGCCTCTGACAGGGCACAGAGACCCTTTATCCTTGTTTGGATATGCTTAGGTACGTCATCCATTCCTATTTGTATTTAAAAAAAAATATATAGGCCCATACCTATAGGCCTACTAATGCTCGAACAACCTTCCCCATACTTCAGGTCTGAAATCTCTGTATTTCACTGTTTAATTATGTTAATCAATATTGAATATACCATAATATACTGACAGTAGAAGTCTTTTCACTGCTGGTTTCATGATTCAATCTTACACTCAAAAATCTCGTCAAACAAGATTATCCAGCAGCTGACTTTTTCCATTACACGGAAGCCTTTAGTTAAAATATTTGCATTGACCTTCTTGTTAAATATGTAAAACTATAATCACAGTGTAAAATCCACTTTCATATATACCAGGAACGATGCACTATTACGGATTTAAAATATGGCTTATTTTTGGACATAATAAAAAACAATCACCTCTAGCGTCATATGTACACCTAACGTTTCATTGTCTCACATATAAAGGAGAAATCAAGTTACTAAGCAATCTTCAAAATCTTGGTCTGCATTTTCACTAATATTAACATTTAACTTTCCCACAATGTATCAATGTAACTACTTAACTGAGCTAAGTCTTCAACAGCTTTTATTTCATATAGCAAAACCATCGGATGCTTCTGACTCATGTTACGTCTATCTGTCTGTGTGTAGCACATTTCTTTCCATATAAAGTGTTGCTGGACACTTATGTATTTCAAGAATAAGTTTTAATGATTATAATATACTACACCATGTATTTGTGTCTGACTTGAAAAAGAAAAATAAACATACGGGTAACATAAATAGAACCCGGTTTAACAAAAACACAAATTACTTCCATGCAATGACATAGCAAATTCTTGGTATCTTTATGTTTTGCAGCGTAACTAGAAAACATATCCACCCGTTTCTCGAGTGATTCCCTAATCCTCCAATACAATATCCGACAAACAACCTACCGAACCAATCAACTACTGAGAGGTGGATACTTCTGAAATGAGTCCTTCTGGTCTTTTCTGGACTATTCGTCTACGAGAAATATACATATCATTCCGCAAGCATCATTTTATAAATTAGAGAAGCAGTCATACGATTTAATGTAATAGTGCTATTTATATCATTACACTTTGTGTTTTTTTCTGAGAATTTCAAGATAAATTACATTTGATTCACGATTAAAACCTGGCACTCTTTTGTTAGCGGAAGGATACTATCACATGACGTCCTTACGGTCCACTTGCATAAATACAGTAGACAGCGTTTGAAACGCATTCTGAAACGTCTACTAAGGAAAATCGAAGCGAGTACAACAAAAGGGAAGAAACTGAAGATTATTTCTGTGCGCCGGATTTTCTGCGTCATATTAAGTGGTATGTTTTTCTTTCTTAGATTTATGCTTATTATGTGTTTATTTTGTAACTACTATCTTCGCGTATTCTTCATCTTAATTACGGGCAGTTGTCGAGCGATATAGTTATCAAAAATAATGTTATTTTCGACGTTAGTTTGTTTATGCTATTTATTTTTACTTTGACATTAGGCACCAATAATTTTTTTCAGGAAAATCGTTTGGTGATTTTAATTTTACGCTTATGTACCTTGTTGGAAATGCTGACTCATTTTAGGCTCTAGCTAGTTACAGCACAAAATGGCGTTGGTGAGTTCGCTGGTCTAACTGGATCAAGCAGGTTTCTGAGAATGTGTTAGAGACATGGAATCCTTCTATGGCCTCATTTATTTATAATAATTAATTGTATTTATCATACATAGAATATGTTCGCATTTGCTTTAAAGCTCAATGGTGTAGAACTCGATAATATTCCATTCATTTTTACATTCGTAAAAGTAGTCATTAGTAACTTCCTGTAACGTCAATGTATGTTTAATATTAAAGTTCGTTAATTTAGTTAGACCCCCAGGCAAAAATCCACTTGTACCAAATATAATCGTTTGTTACTCTGCTGATACATGGTACTAACTTGGCTACTCTTAAATTTCCGTGAATTATTGCTTAATTAATGCTTTGATATAAAGTATTTTAATTTTTATTAAATTATTCTAAAGGAAAAGTAAGGAGATATTCTTGCCAAAATCTAATGTACTTGTTAATTTTTTAAATGATCTAGCAGACATAGGATAATTGTGCATTGATGAAGAATGAATATGGGCAGGCAAGCACAGAATCTGAGTAGGCCTAATGGTTAGTTATAAGGCTGAAATTGGTGCTTGATTGCATCTGAAATACTAGGTAATTTTCAAGTATGTAAGGGAAAATCGTAAATAATTGCTGTTTATTATTAGTCACCAAGAAATGTACTTAATCTTTATCATATTGCTTTTTTTCGACTTAGTGGAAAATGCAGATCTTCGTCAAGACCCTGACAGGCAAGACCATCACCTTGGAGGTGGAGCCCAGTGACACCATTGAGAACGTGAAGGCCAAAATCCAGGACAAAGAAGGCATTCCCCCAGACCAGCAGAGGCTGATCTTTGCCGGCAAGCAGCTGGAAGATGGCCGCACGCTGTCCGACTACAACATCCAGAAGGAATCCACCCTGCACCTGGTGTTGCGTCTGAGGGGTGGCATGCAGATCTTCGTCAAGACCCTGACAGGCAAGACCATCACCTTGGAGGTGGAGCCCAGTGACACCATTGAGAACGTGAAGGCCAAAATCCAGGACAAAGAAGGCATTCCCCCAGACCAGCAGAGGTTGATCTTTGCCGGCAAGCAGCTGGAAGATGGCCGCACGCTGTCCGACTACAACATCCAGAAGGAATCCACTCTGCACCTGGTGCTGCGTCTGAGGGGTGGCATGCAGATCTTCGTCAAGACCCTGACAGGCAAGACCATCACCTTGGAGGTGGAGCCCAGTGACACCATTGAGAACGTGAAGGCCAAAATCCAGGACAAAGAAGGCATTCCCCCAGACCAGCAGAGGTTGATCTTTGCCGGCAAGCAGCTGGAAGATGGCCGCACGCTGTCCGACTACAACATCCAGAAGGAATCCACTCTGCAC